GGGGGGGGGGGGGTAGCACACCGGCTGCAGAGCTGGATGGATTCAAGGCGGGAAAGTGCCGTCTGGTGGACGTGTGTCAAAAAGCCGTGCGCAGCACCCCCAGGGCCGGCGTCGGCCTATCATGAGAAAGACTCGACACCCGTGTGAGCTGGAGGAAGCGGAAAGGGCAGGAGGGCCTCAACGGGCCGATCCCCCCCGCGGCTGCGCGCCCCGGCGCGCCGGCGTCGGCAGACTCGCGGCGGATCGGGGTCAGAGAGCAACGCGTCGACGCAACGCCGCGGCCGCCCCAAGCGGGATGCGAGGGGGGGGGGAGGGGGTGGCTGGCGGGAGGGGCCGCACCCGCAGAAGGTGGGGCCCGCGCCGCACGCGCAGCACGAGGAAGGGGGACGACGCGCCGCCCAGCATCGCCTGCGCGCGGAACGGGTTTGGTCAGGCAGGGTGCAACAAGGGAGTCAAGTGAGAGGCGGCAAGGTGGGGAGTGTGGGGCAGGAGGAAGCCCCAGTGGGGGGAGGAGGGTAGCGCCGTGCCGCATCGAGTTTCAAGGGCAAAGGGAAGGGGTGGAAGAGGGGTGGCGTACGACCAAAAGAAGGCGCAGGCGTCACGCTCGCCGATGTCTTTGTCGTCAAAACGCATGAACCAACGCGTCGAGCGGCACCGTGCAGCCGTATGTAACTGCGTCGCTGCTGCACCGCCTGGCACTCATCGATTGATCTGCAAATGCAGGTCCTGGCCCCCATGCACAGTCAATGTGAGTGTATGCCCGCCCGGACGCACGCCATGCTGAAACGCGCCCTGCACAAACGCACGCATGTAAAAGTGTGCGTGTGTGTGTACGTGCACGTGGGTGTTGACATTTTCAAGTCAGGGGAAACCAACCCACGTGCGTGAACGCACACTTTCACACACGCAAGCGTGCACACACCAATCGATCAACAACTTGATACTCTCACACGCATGTTGACCCGCTCATCTACTTTTGCCATGCTACACTCAGCACGCACATGCAGACACCCACAACCACACCCATCCCCACACCCCCACACCCCCACACCCACCCACACCAACCCACACACACACACACAGGCACACACAGGCATACACATACACACACATACAACTCACGCACGCACAGACACACAACTATCGCTCCAACCTGCCCATCCCGTCGCCGCCCGCCCGGTCAACCGCAGAATCAACCGCCTCTGCCCCCTCACCTGCATCATGCTGGACTCAAACTGCTGGAACTGCGCGATCTGGTTCTCCAGCTGCAGCACGCGCGCCTTAGACGCCGGGTCGTACACAAACGGGTGCTGGCAGAACGAGAAGCCGTACCGCTGGGGCTGCGGTGGGCGGGGGTGCAGCGAATGGGGGGCGGATGGGGACATGTAGCCGTGGATCGACACCTGCTGAGCATGGGAAAGGGCTGCAAGGATGCCAGCTGTCATGTCGCTCAAAGCAGGGCTGGCCTCTGCAACGAACGACCCCGGTCAAACCCCAGTCAAACACAGGTCAAACACCGGTCAAACGCACCGACTTCCAGCGCCGGAAATCCTCCTGCACGTTGAAGTCCTCCGCGTTGATCGCGCCGTTGTAGAACTCCGCAAAGGGCACGGCGCCTGGCAGTACGGTGGTCGTAACGGTCATTTGTGAGATGGAGATGTGAGAGTGTAACGAGCAACGCCTGCAGCACAATCAACGGCTTGGCACAGCTGCCGAGACATTGGGGCCAAGGTATGTGGTGCGCCACGGTAATTCCCCGCAATCCTGCCCCCAAAGCATGCATACTGTGGTTGCAAAGCACACAGGCAGGCCAAGGAACCAGTGCGCACGTGACGCATCACTCACACCTCCTCGTGGCAGAAACCCAACCACACACATATACAGGCACACACACCGCTCTCACACTCTTGCTCTACAAGCACCCGTGAAACTTTGCCCAACACGTTGAATCAACAATAAAAGGGGTGAAGTCGACCCCATAACCGCCCCTCACCTGACTCCTCGCATGCCTCGTGAAGCAATCCCAGCAGCGCGGTCACTGCCTCCACGCCCGGCGTGATGCTCATTTGCGTGTACAGCGTCAGAGTGATGTACTGCTGGCAGGTCGCAACCGCCCTGGGGAGGTTTCCATTCATTTCAACATTATATGAGTAACGGGGACCCGACGGGATGAAACGGCCTTCATGTGGCAGCTGACTGGAAGGTAAGTTTCTTCAACCGGGCCGCCTCGGCTCTCGCACAAGCACGCGCTTGGCACAAATAATTGGCACAGCGGTGGCTTATGCAGCGGCGCTGACCCCCCCCCCACCACCAATGCGACACTGCGCAACCCACATGCAGAGAGCGCCCCGCCCCGCCCCTGGCGCCCACCTCCTCATGTCCCGCGCCCCCCAGGCGCGCAGCAGCCGCAGCAGCACCTCACGCTGCGCCTCCGGCCAGCCACGGACGGCCCGCGCCAGTGCCTCGAGGGCGCTATGGCCGCCAGAGTCCTCCAAGACTGGGCTCACCAGCGCCACCGCCGCGGCGCGGCACAGCGCCGCAGGGGACGCGCACAGCCCCGGCGCCGGCGCGCCCTGGCCCCCTTGCACGCCGTCGCCGCTGCCGCTGCTGTACAGGCCGCCGCCGCCGCCGTTTGCAAACGATCCTCCGGCCGCGCTGTTGTTGAGGGGGGTGGCGCCGCCGCCGCCAAACCCAGCCCCGCTGCTGCCGCCGTTTTTGTGGGCCGCTGTCAGCTCTGACACAAGCCCCTCCGCCGCCTCCTCCAGAGCCTCAGTCACATGGCTGTGCGCCAGCGAGCGTGCGTGCATGGATGCGTTTGTTTGTTTGTTTATGTGTGTGTGTGTGTGTGTGTGTGTGTGTGTGTGTGTAAATGATTGTGGCAACAGCATTGAAACCGCCACATGACAGAGCGCATGGTGCTACCGATTCAATCAGAAACCCATTGATGCCTTCCAGCCACGTTGTGAAGCTTCACCACCTGGCCGCCCGCGCGGTCAAAGCAGCGGTTGACCGAGCCCATCTGACATTATGCAACCAAATGCGTGGCTGCCCAGCTGCCGCTCACATGTCTCGCAGCCCCGTCAGTGCTGAGTAGGCGCCGTGCACCGCGTCCATGTCCAGCTGCAAGGAAGCTTCCTCGTCGCTTCCGCGGGCGGCGGCGCCGCCGGCGGGGACCGACACAGCTGCGGGCGCGCTGGGCCAGAAGGCGGCCTGCACGGCATCCAGGCTGCCAAAGAACGATAAGACCTGGGAAGTTCATGCAGCGCAATTGGCGGCCCTGGTTAGCGCTGCTTTTGATCGCACGCCTTGTGCCGCGCCGCGCCCTGCTGCGCGTGCTTGACACCGCTGCCGTAGGGCTCGCGGTGTGGCTGCTTGTACAGTCAGACTGTGAGCCAACCACGCCATGCAGCGGCCTCACCTGCTTCCGCAATCGCCTGGAGGCTGCTCGGGCTTGGCTGCCAGTGCCGGCGCCGCTGACGCTGTCCTTGGACGCTGCAATCGCCGCTACCAATTCCCCGAGCGCTGGCGGCATAGAAGCTGCGCAGGGCGCGGCGTGAGACAGGCGGGCTTTGTGCGAGAGGGAGCGGCGCATTGCCGAACAATTCAGGTGCCGCGCCGCGCAAGGTCCTGCACTGTCCAAGTTGCGTCGGCTCTGTTGCAGCGCGCACCACCGAGCAGCGCGCTTTGTACTCCCCCTGAAGTGCACACCTGCCCCGGCACCAATCCTGATTGCCATCGCAGCCGCCTCGTTAGGCTCCATGCACCGAGCCCTGAGCTCCTCGAAGCTCCTGCGAAGGGTGTAAAAAGAAAGCGCTGAGAGCTCACATGCCGAGGAGCTCGCACCCCTGAATTGTGCGCAGCGCGTATGGTTTTCTCACTGGTGCACTGCCTGTGCAAACTCCTCTGCTAGGCGGTCCCCCATAGTCGCTGCGCTCCAGATCGCTGCAACAAGGCGCCAAGAGGGACGGCCTGGTGGCCCTTGATGCTGTCGATAATAGGGATTTCAGCCGTCGTAGTTAGTGTACCATATTGGATGCAGGGAGTAGTTACGTAGTGAGGTGGACGTGGCTGTCACCCGAGGCACTTGCGGTCATCCCGTCTGGCAAGTTTTTCGTGGCCTCCCACCAGCCCAGAACGGGCATGGCAGCAAGCGGCTGCTGCCAAAATCATTGGTTGGCTGGGAGGTTCACCGTATGCGACCGTTGCCTGGGCGCATATCACACCCTGGCACCCTGCTGCGTGCTTTGCATGCTGAGCAGCTGCAGACACAAAGCATGACGTGCACGCGACGCTGCAGCGCCGTCGCTGAAGTACACCCAGTACGCGGATTGCGCTTGGGATATCCTGTGGAGGCGTGGAGAGTGCAAACAGGAGAGGGGCCCTGAAAGCCACCGCTAGCGGCTGCAACCTGGGCTGCGGTGGCCCTCCGGCAGCTGTGGAAGGCTGGGGGCGGCGTGCCGCACAGCTCAGCAGGCGGCAGGCCGGCCAGGTTGGACCCTGGTGTTGCTAATGGTGCGGTATGGCGGAGGGGCAGCAGGCGGCTGGCTCAGGTGGTGGCAAATGAGTAGCTTACTGTAGGACAGGTGACGAAGGGATGGTCAGCAAAGGAAGGTGCATGCACAACGGCAGGCAGGCATGCAAGGCAAGACAAGGGCGAGGAGTTTTGCTGGTGGAGGTGATGGTGCAACAGACTCCAAGCAGCAAAATGGAGGGGTCGAGGAAAACGGCAGCACTAGGCCGGCACCCGGGCAACGCCCCCCACCCTTGACACCGAACGGTCATGTGCCAGTCCCTCCTTGAAGATTGGTGGTGTGATGCATCCAAAACCAGGCGACATGTTCTGGTAACGTAGGGGCCCTGCGCGTTGACTGCTCGGATCGCTCGTGCTGCGTCACCAGCACAGTCATGAAGTCACCACCCCTGGCTTGGATGGGTGTGCACGACAGGGAACATCCGATGCTGCGCTGTATGCTAGACTCTTCATACCAATGCATACGGCGTTGTCACGGTGGTCCGGCCTGCATGCGTTTGTGTTGTCGAAATGGGAGATAAGGCCGCACGTGTGCTGTCTCTAGAGCTCGATCAAGAGGGCGACAGGCTGCGCGCAAGGCTATTTGTGCATCTGGAGGAGCAACAGGAACCAGGGCAGCCCTTGCTCTATGGCGCAGGTCCTGTTCTGGCGGGCCAGGATCGCCCTGAGCCCTATGGCACAGAGGTGCGTCCACGAATGAGTTGCCAAGTTGTGCGTGCTTGCAGCCGGCCCAGCCGCACGTCGCACCGTCACCCGTGCCATCCGTTTCGCCGCGCCGCCTCGCTGCTTTCGATTTTAAAGGCGTCTGTCGGCCTCCTGTACGACCACGTGATGACGCTTCACGCGCTGAATGGCAAGTGGAATGTAGGTGATGCATTGGGGGTCATACGCCTTGGCTACACAGCCGCTGCAACCGTCTTCTGCCCTCCGCTGCAGCGTGAGCTGATGCCCCCAATCTGCTCGCATCCTCTCTGCTGGGCCCGCTCTCGTTGCATTCCTCCGACTCTTGAAGCCCAACACAATGTGACGCCCCACCCCAGACCACCCTGAGTGTCCCGAGCGCATCAGCCGGCTGTACACCACCCTCCAAGAGCGCGGCCTGCAGCAGCGCTGCGTGCCCCTGGCGTCCCGCCAGGTGCGGTCGACGCCGCACCCTCTCCCCGCCCTCCGCGGTCGATCAGCATTCGTCTCCTCATGCTCATTCGTTGAAACCCACAAACAAAATGGCAGCCACATGCAGTAGCTTAAACCTCACCACCAAGAACCCTCGCCCGAGTCACAACACCGAATCCACCCATCACAACCCCCCCCCGACCACGAGCCAAAAAACCATCGTTGACCGCCCCAAAGGCGACCGACGAGGAGCTCGTCCGTGCCCACGCGGCCGAGTACATCTCGGCGGTCGGTGCCCTATACCGCCCCGGGGTCACCACCGCCACCTCTGGCGGCCCCGCGGAGGCGAGGGGGGACGCCCTTATCATATCTGGGGACGTTTACTGCAACCAGCACACCTCGCTCGCCGCGCGCACGGCGGCGGGCTGCGCAGTGGAGGTGCGACAGCCGAGCCGTTTGCGACTGTCAGCATAGATCGGTCGGAGAACGAGAGAATTGCGGGCCCAGGCTTAGCAATCTGGCGGCCCCGTCGGCGGGCAAAGACGGGGAGACCGTCGAAGGGCTGCCTCAATTTTCCCATGATGCACACCTGGATCTGGGGGTGAGTTCGCGGCACGGCGGTTTCGCCCGACGAGCTGAGGAGGTCGCTACCTCCCGCCCGCCCCGCAGGCCGTGCACGCCGTGCTAGACGGCCGTGTGGCGCGCGCGTTCGCGGCGGTGCGGCCGCCCGGCCATCACGCGGAGAGCGTCGCGTTCATGGGCTTCTGCTTTTTCAACAATGCGGCGGTGGCCGCCCACGCAGCGCTTGCGAGAGGTGGGGCGCGGCCCGTACTTGCCGCTGCCCCTCCCATCGATGCGTCAAGCGCTCGCACTCCTGCTGCTGTGCAAGCATCAGCGGCGCGCAGTCCAGCGCGCGGTCGTTGCAGCTCCGCATCACCTCTTGTTTGTGCCGCAACAACCCGGCTCCTCGCCCGCACCCCTGACTCGCCCCCTCAGGTTTGGAGCGCGTGCTAATATTTGACTGGTGAGTTGGTTGAAGCCATGTCAACTCGTGATAACCCACTGACGCGTCCCGCAAGCACGCCCACCCGGCTTCGACTCCTTAACGCGCATGCACACAGTCAGCCAAAACCTCCCCTCCCCCTGGTCGAGGCAACCACCTTGCTCTCCACCCAATAAGCAACCCCGCAAGCGCGATGATCATCAGCTTGCGACTCGTGTTATTCCAACACAGAGCCGCGGTGACACCCCATTCCACGCACCACACACACCCAGGGACGTTCACCACGGCAACGGCACCCAGCAGATTCTTGAGGGCGATCCCCGGGTCCTGACTGTCTCTATCCACCGCCGGGACGGGTTCTTCTATCCCGAGGGCAGCGGGTTTCCTGAAGAGGTTAGTTGGGCAAAGGGAAGGGTTGGGGTGTAGGGTTCAGGGATTAGGGTTGAGGGCTGAGGGTTGAGCGAGGGGTGAGGACTAGGGTTAGGCCTGCGGCCGCCCAATTCTGATGCCGTGCAGGCTGGCAGGGCTTGGCCTGCCCTCTTGTGGTTGGCCCGCTCACGCCGCCGTCGCAGCTGGGACGATGGGGAGGGTGGTTTGGCTGCGTCCCTGCGGCGCCCCTCCGACCGGCGCCGGCGCGCCGGGCCGCGCCCGTGTTGTCACGCCGCTCGAGGAAGCTCAGTAAAGGGCAGCCAGCGAGCCGCCTTGCAACTGCTTGTGCAAGCGGCGGTCTTTTCCCTCATGAAAACCAACGTGCCCCTTCCCCTGCGCGCCGCCCGCCCGCCCAGGTCGGCGTGGGCGCCGGCGCAGGTTACAACATCAACGTCGGCTGGCGCAGCAAGGGCATGGGCGACGCGGACTACTTGGTGGGCGGTGTGGGGGCTGGCGGGGCGGCTGCTGGCTGCCGTTGTAAGGGGATCGAGGCGTTGAACTGGGGGATGATGCTGGTGCAGATTGCGGTGATGTCATGGCATGAGTCTTTCGTGCCATCAATAAGCCCGCGGAAGTCGCGTGCTTCTGGTCCGCAAAAGCACACCCACCCACCTGCCCATCACGCAAACCACACACTCACTTCCCCCAGGCCGCCTATGACCTCGTGCTCGAGCCCATCTTGACATCATTCGCCCCCCAGCTGGTCATAATCGCCGCCGGCTTTGACGCTGTAGAGGGCGACCCCCTCGGCGGCTGCTGCGTGACGCCGGAGGGGTACGGCCACATGACGCGTCGCCTGGCGCGGCTGGCGGGCGGGCGGGTCGTAGCCGTGCTGGAGGGTGGATACAACACCAGGTGGGGGCTTTGACGGGCTTTGACTCTTGGGTCTGTGCATTGCTGTGCATGCAGGGGGCGCACTGGGCAGACGTGGGCGCGAGAGTGTGGCTGCAGCAACTGGTGCGGGCCCGGATGGGCCTATGTGTCCCCTGCTTTGATTGATGAGGTCGTCGGCAATATGTGGGTGCTGGAGGGCAGCTGCAGCACCAAGGGTCTGGCCCGGAGGGCCTGTTGAGTCGCCGCGTTCGTCAGCAGTGAGCAGTGAGTGTGGAGGGCGCAATGTCTGTTACCCCTGCGCCCGGCCAGGTAACCCATGCCCTGGGAGCCCCTGCCATGACCCACGCCCTCAGAGCCCCTGCCGTAACCCACGAACTGAGAGCCCCCGCCATAACCCATGCCCTCAATGTACCTGCCTCTGCGCAGGCAGGTCGCCGCATCGTCTTGCGAGGTGGTGCGGGTGCTACTGGGAGGGGAGCCCGCCAAGCTTGAGGGGGAGCACTCGTTCACCACCAGCAAGTCGCTGTTTGGCGCCCTTAACGCCACCCTCGCGGCGGCGACGCCCTACTGGTGGGTGGCTGGCACGGCCGCCCGCGGTGCACCTGCTTTGGAGCGGCGTCGCGCCCGGAGCGCCTGCGCAACTCCTGTGAGCTGCACCTGCCCCAACTCTGCGAGCTGCTGGCATTGGCTTCTTCGTCAGTGGGCCGAGCTTAACGCCAGGTCGCCGTATCAGGCTGTCCCCCTCTCTCGCGAGACACATACACGCTGCCTGCGTCGTACCAACACGCCGCGCACCCGTGGCCCTCCCCCACCCCAGGCCCGTGCTGGCAGCCCTGCCGCCCCTCAAGGCCCGCCTGGCAGACCTGAGGGCAGCCCTCGAGTTCCAACGCCTCGTCATCGGCCCCTCCAGCCCGCCGCGGACCCGAACAACCCCCAAGCCTGCCGCCCCGCCTCTGCCCCGCGTCTCGACGCGGGTCGGCGGCGCGAGCCCCGCTGCGGCCGCGGCGGCAGCGGCGGCAGCGGCGGCGCCGGGGTCGGCGCGCGGGCGGGGCGGTCGGAGGGGAGGGGCGGCGGTGGGGAGAGTCGCAGGCCGCGGCGGAGCGGCGGCAGCAGCGGCAGCGGCGGCAGCAGCGGCGGCGGCAGAGGCGCAGGCAGCCGCTGCTGCTGCTGCGGCGGCAGCAGCGGCGGCAGTGGCAGCAGAAGAGGTAGCAGAACAGGCGCAGCAGCTTCCTGCAGGGGTCGTTCTGATGGAGATTTCAGCACGGGAGTTCACCCCTCCCCCCCCGCTCCTGGCCTTCGTGCCATCGCCGCCGCTGCTCCCTGTCTCTCCAATGGCGGTCGACGCCTCCCCCGTGCCCAAGCCGCCGCCGGCGGCCCTCGGTGCTGCAGGAGCAGCGTTCCGCAGCCCCAGCGCCAGCCCAGCAGCCTCGTTGCCGCCTGCGCCGCCCGCCGCGGCCTCTGCGCCGCCGCCGGCAAGGATGGCCGTGTCGGGTCCCGTAACACGCAGCCGTAGCGCCAGCCCCGCGGCTGCGGCGGTGCTGCAATCAGCGCCGCCGGCTCTCGCGCCGCACGCCGCCGCGCGGCCCCGTGGCGCCGCGCCGCCGTCGACGTCGCTGGCTGCGGCGACGTCGCCCGCCGCGGCTGCGGTGCAGTTCGAAGCCTCCCAAGCAGCGGCCGCAGCGATCGCGGAGGCTGAGGCGGCGGCGGCGGGCGCCGCAGCGGCGGCTGCTGCGTCGTGGGCGGCGGGCGAGGACGTCTCTTCTCCCATCGGCATCGATGCGAGCATGCTGGCCGCGCTTGCGTCCCTCAAGCTGGACGGCGGCGCCGCGCGCCCGCCGCCACCCCCGCACGCGCCGGCCGCTGCCGCGTCGCCGCAGCCGCGGAGCGCGCTGCCGCGCGTCGCGAGCGGCGCCGGCATGTGAGGGGTGCACGCGCGCGCCGGCTTTGACTGCATGTTGACTGCATCAGCAGCAATGTTACAGTGTACAGCATCCCGTCCCTTGCTCGGGTCATGCCTCCCTAACTATTCGTGCACCCCTTTGGTCGAACCCGCGTGTGCCTCGCGCGCTCGTAACGCGGTGCGCCCCGCCGGGCAAGCGGCGCTCGCCACTTTTGCTGACCCTTGCCAGCCAAGTGCAGGGAGCCCCCAGAATGACGCGTTTTCGCAACGCAGTGTCAAGTCTACGCATGCTCGGGCAGGGGGAGGCCTTGAGACATGGGCCTTAACTATTTTCCTGTCTGGCTCCAGCACCCTGCATCATGCTGCCCCAGCACCACAGCATCGCCATTGCACAGTAACACCTTCCTGAAGCGTGCGGCTGACTCAGACAGCGGGAGTGTGGGTGGGTGCGTGTTTTTTCTTTTTGGGGGGGGGTGGTTGCGGGAAGCGGGCGTCCAAATCCAAGTGCGTACTGAAAGTCATCTGCAAGGTGACAGCATGCGTGTCGTATGGCAGCTGCAGAGCAGGCAAGTTTGAGCCAGCTGCCCACGTCTTTTTGAGTGACGGACGCCTGTGACAGCTGTGGGTACAGGCACAAGCGAGGGATTCAGCGGAGCGTTGCGTTGCTTGGCCGGGCGGCTGCTGCGGGGTGCGGGATGTGCTGATGCAGGGATCGGCGAGGGCTTTCAGGTGGGGGTTCATCCCACCTATGGACTTTGGCAGGGTTTAGAAAGGGGTGGGACAGCATCCTGGGACGCAGGGCGGCGGGGGCCTGTCACCACCACGGGAACCATCTCACATGTGTACTGTACACGGAACAGGGGAAGGCGTACCCTCAAAGCAGCACAGTGCTCGAAGAGATTTTGTGATGGCCGCAAGGTGGAACATGGCGAGTCCACCACTGGTGTGCGGTACAGTACCTGAGGAGTGGCTGCCCCAAACGCCCCCCCCCCCCAAAACCGACCTGCAGCCTGGCAACGTCAGGTGGAGGAGGTGAGCCTGAGCAGGGTCGTGTTGTTGCTCTCACGTGCGCGATGTAAATACAGTTTCCATTGAAAGTAGGTTAGGCCGACGATTTGGGCCGCGCTGTCACACCCACGCTCTGCACTCTGACAGATCCGCAAAAAACGATCGCCAGGGCGTTTGTAGGGCAACGCAGCACGCGTGGATCTTCGCCTTGCATCTCAGTTTTCTCACGCAGGTGTGCGCACCCTTGCGGTGTCACCAGGACGCGAGCCCCTCCCCAGCCTGAGCCCCTTTGTGAGACCAATCTTGGATGAAAATTAGGGGGCATGGGTCGCTGATGCAGCGGCTTCAATGTCACCCGGTCATACACAGACTTCGAATGGGCGCCGCCGCCCTGGCACTGGAGCACTGGGTAGAAACCGTGTCAATCTACGCCTCGTTGTAATTCATCAACCGCCTCCTATTTTTGGGCAGCAATGGCGCTGCGAAACTGGTCTCTGCGCGTTCTTCTGGTAGCAGTGGTGGTTGCTGTAGGGAACAGCTCTGCAGCTCGTGCACCTGCAGGTGAGGGCACGGGAGGGGCGGCATTCCCGACAAGAGCTTTTCCAATGGCACTCACACGCAGCACCAGAGCAGTTTGGGGCACCAATGGCCCTGGTATTTATCTTAGCGCACCGTTCCAGGCCCCAACCTCCCCTCCTTCTTCCCATTTCCTGCGGCCCCTCCCCGGCCGGCCACAGTCGACACCCCCCAGGATTGCGTCGATCGCCATCTGCCTTTCGACCCCGCCAAAAAGGCTTGCATCGAAGGCGACATCCACATCCCCTTTTCAAAGTGCCGCTGGGCCAAAGACTTCGAAAGCAACTTCATAATGTGGCAAGTCTTCAACACCTGCAAGTCAAAGCGCCCGCTCCTGGTCGCAAAGGCGTGGGACGACGACGCCGGCCATTCCTACACAGAGGGCTTCAAGGTGGTGCCCTTCGGCAGCTACGCCAACCTAACGGACGATGGGACGCGCGACCTGGTGTTCTCGACGGGGCCGCCCGCCGGCGGCGCGAAGGGCCGGCTGACGCTCGGCCGGCCGCTGGGGTCGTCGTGCGCGGACGCGGAGCTGAGGAAGGGCAAAGACAACACGCCGATCGGCAGTCACGGCTACTGCCTTATAGTGGGGGACGACATCAGCAAGAAGTTCAGCATGGCATGGGGGGAGGACGACATTTACGTGAGTTGGAAGCCACAAGACGGGCGTGGGTCATCGGTTGGGGCACGGATCACAGGTCCACATGACGTGAGGGCGGCTGCTGTGACCAGCCCAGAGCAGCACCGCATGTCTCCTGCTGCAGATCGCTAATCCGGGGGGTGATGTTGCTTGATTTTGTAGGCTGCCTTACCCGTCGGTCTGTGTGCGTGCGCATCGTCTTGCCACCTGTTGTCTTGTAGTTTGCAGCGCTGCGCGCGTTCCATGCGCCATCTCACCCTGACCCTAGTGCCAACATTTCAAGAGTTTTGCTCGGCTATGTCGCGTATCCCTCAACCCAACAGGAGTATGTGGTCACAGGCGCTGCTGTGGGCGGCAAGACACTCAAAGGCAAGAAGTGTGACGGGTCGCTGCACCCGGGGGCGGTGTTGCTGGAATTCAACTCGGAAATGTGCACCCCAGGCTGCGGCGCGCGGCTGAGGCTGACAGAATGCTGACTGCCCACCATTTCTCGGCAGTTTGCTGCCTGAAGGGAATTCTAGGAAAAGACGATGCATTTGGTTGCCACAATGTCGTGGTGATGGGCAGGACCCCCATGCAGGTCGTACATGCAATCCGGTCCTGAGTATGGGCCTGGGGAGCACCGCTCGCTCTTTTCACTCCGTTGTCACTGATGACACCGTGGTTTTGGCTGGATTATGCATAGACGAGGCGCACACGCCGCTTGCTTTGCGCGGCCCCATGCTGGCCAGGGCTGAGTGTCCTGGTGTGCTGCACGTTGCGGCTGTCACCTTGCCGGCGTATGGACGCGGTGCTGCCAGACCAGAACGGGATCTGTCGATGCCGCGGAGTGGAAGCGAACGCAGGCCCGGTGCACAATGCATGGGTAGCCGGCAGCAGCAACGCTTGTTGCGTGTGACACACGGCCGCAGTGGAATTTCATCGCAAGCGGTTGCAGTACCGGCAAGTGTATGCAGCAGGGTGCGACATGTGACAATGCAGTCCAGGTGGGTTGTGAACTTTGATGTAGACACAAAACTGCCGGTAACGGGTGACATAAGGCGGGACTTGGGACCAAATCATACAGCAGGCGTGGCAACTGTCAAACTAAGCGCACCGGTAGTTGCATGCAAGGGGCGATACGAAGCTTCTCACCTCTGACAGAATCCTGTTGGCGGGAAGCGCTACCAACCTCTGGCACCCACTGTAGGAGTCGCTCTGCGCGCTTACATATGCCTGAAATCCAGCATCTGATCATACATTGCTAAAGCACGGGCTGGCGCGAGCAGTGCGCGAGCACTCACCGCTCCACAACGAACCGGTGCGTCCAGTGCAGCGGCGCCACCCTGCACGACGGCAACACATACATTTCAACCACTATTCTTGTGTTTCCACAACAACGCCCCCTTAGGCCGCCTGTAAAGACCATTTTTTGGCCGCCACTTTTTGTGGTGGTGCTCCGCTTGGAAAAACGTTTCAAACGCGCATAAACGTGTGGGATCGTCCCACAAGGTCCCTCGCAACCCTGGGCAACGCGATCGTAAGGGCGGCGCGTCCCGCAGCATCCAGCCAGCAGCCGCTGCGCGCGCTGCTCTCGCCCACCGTCTCTGCATACACCACAGTTGCCCCACAGGCAGCAGACATGAACGGTGCCCAAGATGGCCGCGGCGGTGGCCAAGGAGGGGGCAGACGCGGAGGCGGCGGGAGCGGCAGCCAGGGCCCGGGCGGCGCACAGCAGCGGTTCGGCGGCGGCGGCGGCGCCGGTGGCAGTGCTGCAGCTGATGGAGGAGGCCCGCGCAAGCGCAGCAGGGGCAGCCGCGGAGGCGGCGGCCGCGGCGGCCAGGGCGTCCAGGGCGGCGGCGCCCCGGCCGGCGCGCACCAGGCGCAGCAGCCGCGGCAGCAGGCGCCGGCGGCGCCGCTGCTGCAGCACCACCATGAACACCACAGGCAGCCCCACTTCCAGCCGCAGCTCCCGCAGCAGCGGCAGTACGCGACGCTCTCGGCGGCGGCGGCGGCGGCCGCGCTGGAGCATCAGCAGGGCGGCGGGCCGCGCGTCGAGAACTCTGTGTTGACCCAGTCAGCATTTGCTGACCTGCAGCTGCACCCCTTGACCCTCAGCGCGATGGAACAGGTGCGGGCCGGTTACCTCCCCACCCCTGGTGGCGTCGGGCCCCGTGGTTCGAGCAGCTGTGTGCGCTCATGCGATGCAGCGCCTCGGCATGCGTCTACTAGACACGTTTTGACTCTGTTTGACCGGACCGACCCAATGCGCAGCCGTGTCGGCATGCACCACCGCAACGCCACGACACGCCCCAATCACCCCTGCAAAGGCCACGGCTACCACGGCTTGAACACATACCAGCACAACCTCAAACAGTGCAGCTCAGCCCGACAGCGCCCAGCACAGCATCAACATACCCTCAACATCACCCGAGCACCGCCCCCAACGCACTCTCTCAGTACAAGTATCCCCTGTCTCCCTCCCCGAGCAGGTGTTCGGGTACCGATACATGTCAGAGGTTCAAGCCGCTGCGATCCCAGTCGCACTCACCGGCAGGTGCGCGGCCCTGCAGCAGCTGCGCCCCTCCCAAGGACCATGCACAAACACACGCCGCTCAGGCACCACGCTTGCGCCCCCCAAAGCATGCGCCCCTGGCTGCATGCACACAGATGCACTGCATGCACACAGTTGCACTGCATGCATCTGCACCCATTGCACGGGCGCGGGTTTGTTGACAGTTCGCATGACACATGTGGCACCCATCACGAGCCTGCGAGGCTAGGTGCATCAGGCGCTGTGCTCGTGTTCACAGCCGCCAACGCTCTCAAGCCACCGGATTGGCTGGAACTGCGTGTGAACCCCAACCCTGTGCTGGCATTAGTTGGCACTCTCCAACACACACACAACACACACACACACACACACACACACACACACACACACACACACACACACACACACACACATACACACTATCTCACACACATACTCTTACACACACAACCACAATCACAGGGACATTCTGGCCAAGGCCAAGACCGGCACCGGCAAGACCCTGGCCTTCCTCATCCCCGTGGTTGAGCGCCTCGCACGCCAGCCTGCGGTGGGTGGCGGCGCACGCGCGCCGCTGACTGCAAGAGCGCGAGCGCCCCCCCTCGCCAGGCAGCGGTGGAACATGGCTTTAGGGGTGCACGGCGACAAGCAGCTGTCCCCCTCCGCCCCCGTCCAGCGCTGGTCCGCACCACTGCTTGCGGCGCTGCTGGCCCCCACCGCTCTCCTCTTGCAAACCGCGCCTCGCTCCGCCGCCTGGCTCGGCTGATCTGGGACCGTCTCACAGGTGCAGGTCGGCGGCGCGATCCGCTGCCTGGTGCTGGCGCCCAGCAGGGAGCTGGCGGAGCAGATCAGGAAGGAGGCCGAGAAGCTGCTCAGCACGCACGGCGCGCAGCGCGGGGTGCAGGTGGGCGCATGGGCCGTGGGGCAAGGGGCGTGCGTGGAGCAGCGGTGAGCGGCGGGCGGCGTCAACATTTGTTGGGGTGGGGCAGACGGCCCGAGGGCGCGGAGCGGCGCCGCGTATCGCCGCGCCACTCCGATACGCGGCGCGCTGCTTGTGCGTGATGAGGGGCGTCAGCTGTCAGCTGTGGTGCTCGCGTAGGCCCCAACGTCGCCTCCGCGGGCGCCTTAGCGCACGGCCGCTCTGCCTCTCGCAATCCTTGCGGCACGGCGGCAAGCAACACCGCTCAACGCAGTTTCCCCTTGAAACCCCTCAACCCCAGATGGTCATCGGCGGCACCAACATCAACCGGGAGCGCTCCGGCCTCAGCCGGGCGCCGTGCGACGTGCTGGTGGCGACGCCTGGGCGCCTGCAGGACCACCTGGACACGACAGAGGGTTTTGCAGGCCGCCTGTGGGGCGTGCAGGTGGGGCTGGGAGGCGGCCACACCTGCAGCCGGCATGACAGGGCTGGCAGGCTGTTTCCTAGCGGCGGGGTGGTGCTTTTATCTATGTTTGTTGTGCGAGCGCATGCGCACACTGTGTGTGTATGTGCAATCGATTTAGTGTGTGTGTATGTATGTTTGTGTGTGTGAGCGCGTGCGTCAGTGTGCACGCTCATTGATCAGGAGTAGGGGAAAGGAAGCCATCACGGCAAGGTGGGCGTCTGATGCCCTGACTCCAAGCGTCTGCTCCCACCTCAACCCCTCCAACCCTGAGTGCCCCCCCCCCCCGAGCTCATCAACTGCCCTCTCACCCCCAAAACACCCCTCAAGGTGCTGGTAATGGACGAGGCGGACCGCCTGCTGGACATGGGCTTCAAGCCCGCCATTGAGAAGATCTGCAGGTGCGGGGTTGACCAAGGTTTGACCGGTGTGCAGCGGGATTTGGCGGCTCGACGATGACTCATACGTCGGACTGCCAACAGCACAAATCTCCAGCGCATTGATACCAAATGGTCACCCATGGCAGGGCAGCTGGGGATGCCTATAGGCAGAATGTCACGCGCACCCGTGCTCTGCCACTGACCCCCTCCACCCTCTTCATCTACGAACAAATACACACAATTACCCCTCCTCCCCCACCTTATTCCCCCCCCCATGTGACCCGCCAGGCACCTGCCGCCCGCCACACAGCGCCAGTCGCTGATGTTCACGGCCACGGTGCCCCAGGTGCGCGCGCCTGTGGATGCTCCCGCTGGCCCCCAACTCCCGCACAGGCGTCGGCCGCGTGTCAAGGCGGGG